TCTCTCTCTCTCTCTCTCTCTCTCTCTCTCTCACACACACACACACACACCCCACCCCACCCCCCACTGTTCCTCACAGCTTTCATCAATATCTAACATATACCATGAGAATACATTCTATGTTCTGTCGGTTGTTTTTCTCCTCCCTCTCCACTCACAGGACATTCCAAAAAGACAAGAACATGTTTTGTTATTACCTAATCGGTCTGAAACAATTTCTGATCTGTAAGAGATATTTACACTTGTCCTAACGCTAGGAGCTTCCCCTTCCTCCTCTGGCTATGGTGAAGTTCCATGTACTACCACATTTAAAGAGCCAGGATAGCACCAGCACAGAGCAAACAATAAAACATTATCATTGGTGGGGTGCATTTGGACACAGTGAACTGTTATAAAATTGTACATCTTCTCATTTTGTGACTCAACTGTACTACAAGCCAAACCCTACCCCTCTTTGCCTTCTCAGGTCAATAAGAAGTGAGCTCCTTGGAAGCAGGTTCCCCATGTCCTTTGCTCCCTTTGAGTCCCTGACACTAAGCACCAGCCTGCTTATGGAAAACAAATTCTTCCACCTAATTCTGGCAATCTAGCTCATAAGAAACACCAGGACTGCATCAGAGTCTCAATCACTTGCCCTTGTAGACTTGTATTCTGAGTACATGCTTCTCTACTTGGGCCATTCTCTGAACCATCACCACCTGGGAAACTCTTTTAAAAATGCAATGATGGGGCTGGAGAGGTGGCTCAGTGGTTAAGAGTACTTACTGCTCTTGCGGAGGACCCAGGTTCAGTTCCCAGCACTCACATGCCTACTCACAACCATCTGTAACACCAGTTCAGTTCTAATGCCCTCTTCTGGCCTCCTTGGGCTCATACATGCACATGATATATATGCATACGTGCAGACAAAACTCGCACATGAAAGAAAAAATTTTTAATCTTAAAAACAAGAACACTGTTGCTAACAGTAGAAATGTAGGGTTGGCAGAGTGCTTGGTGAATATTCATGAAGCCCTGAGTTTCCTCCCCAGCACCAAATAAGACAGGGCTTGGTGGGCTCACCTGTAGAGGCAGGAGGATCAGAAGTGAAAGGTCATCCTCAGCTACATAGTGAGTTCAAGGTCAGCCTAAGCTACATGCCACCCTGTCTCAAAAGAAACAGTATCTGGACCCTACCTCCAGAATTGATTCTTTGATCTGGGCTGGGACCACAGCATCAGAACATTTCCCAAAAGGCATTTGAGCGTTTGTTGCGTGCAGCCACAGTAGAGAAACGCTATCTAGATTAAATCAGGACAGTCCTAAGAAGACAAGAAAAGACGTCAAAAACTGATGCACATCTGCAGAAATCACATGTTCATTAGCAATGTATGTTGCTTTTCATGCAGGCCCCATTTAGCAATTCCATGAGTCCCTGCATGGCTTCTCCTTTAGAGCCCACTAATGACACTGTGACCCAGAAAGAGGCCACAAAGCTAGATGCTGGGAGGCCCTGGCCTAGCTCTCCTGTGGTTTGGCTGAGGCTGACAGTAATAAGTACTTATAGAATGGCCTGCCTCGTGCTGGAGGCCAGAGAGCTTTAGAAGTATCATTGCTCCATCTGCACCGCTGGGCTCACTTGGCCACATGCCCTCCTGCACAGCAGAGCCTTGCCCTTCGAGTCCCTCACGAAGCTCATGAAGCTATGGCTAACCTCAGGAGGGGGTTTCTCTCCCTGGAATTTAAATATTCATGTGTCTCCTAATCTTAAAGAAAGATAAAGGTGAGTTAGCAAGAAGGAACTCTGGGAGATGGAGAAATGGCTCAGCAGTTAAGTGCGCTGGCTAACAACCATCTATAACTCCAGTTCTATGGGATCCAACACCCTCTTCTGCCCTCTGTAGGTACTGCACACACATGGTGCGTTTACGTCCATGCAGGCAAAACACTTATACATATAAAATAAAAATAAATAAATGTTCTTAAATGAAGGGACTGTGCAGAAGTGCGATGACTATGAAGGCATTTCTGTTCGTGAATCCATTCTATGTTCTTTGCTGTTGGCCAGTCATTGGCCCTGGAAGCCATACCTGTCTAAAAGATGCAAGGGTCAGAACACATGAACACCCAGCTGATGATGTAATATGCAAGGCAGGGGTATGTTCACACAGTGACAACCAATCATGTTCATGCCTGTTGCTGAGGAGATCACATCTATGTATTCTGAGTTTACACATGGACTCATTTAAGCCTCTTTACAGTTCTGAAAGGCAGATAGAATGCAGTATTGTATATTATACACACATTTCATATTGAGGAATCAGCCTTTCAGATTAGCATGTCCTCTGCTCAAGGTTGTAGTGCTAGTAAATGAATCTGGTCCACTTTGAATACTGCTTTGGTCAAATCTCTAATACATTTCCCTGTTTTGAAAAATATCTATTTAACTTTTGCCATTGAATTGTCTGGGATTTGTGGGGCGGAGGTTGTTTGCTTCCTTATTTGTCATCTGTTTGGGACAAGGTTTCACTCTGTAGGGCAGGCTGACCTTGAACTCACTGTGCAGCTCAGACTGTCCTTAAACTCACCATCTTCACCCTCTGAGAGCTTGTATTACTGGTATGCACCACTATGTCCAGCTACAATTGAATTATCTATTCTATGTTGTCCCTATTTGTTCTGATTTCCTTTCTCTTACACCCAGAATCTAAATTTAGAACTCAAATTGCTTTGTGGTTGTTATGGTTGGTTAAGTGAAAACATTGATGTGACTTTTTATGTCAGTGCTGCTTATGCATCCTTAATGACACACCTTACATCAATTGATTTCCAAGATACAACTGGCTGGAAAATCAATGGTGGGGCTCTAAATAATAGACTTCAAGGTTCTATTATTAGTTTAGTTCCAGATTTTTTTAGAAACATAATATAATAATATTTTGCCCAACTAAACAAGACTTGAATCTCCAAAATTTAAGAGTGCAGAGGAGAAGGTTTTACACTAGCTTGAAAAATTCCACTGAATAGGCTTCTTTTTGGAGGCTGAGCATCCCTAAATCAAAAAATCCAATTTTAAAATTCCTAAATTGGAATTTTTGAACACTGAGATGATACCATAAGTGGAAAATTCCACATCTGACCTTGTATAATGTGTCATAGTGAGTGAATGAATGAATGAATGAACGAACGAATGAATGATTAAAGACTCACTGAAAATTGTGTGCTTCAAGCTCATATGTGTATAAGGTGCAGACGAAACAACACAGTTCTTTGTTTAGACTTGAATCCCATTGCCAAGATCCTTTGGCATGTATGTGCAGACATTCCAAAATTCAAAAGCAATCTGAAATCCAAAAACGCTTCTAGTCTTGAACATGTAGGTTAGGGAACCTTGAACCTGTATTTTCAAAAGACATAGTAATTTAGTAAACACCATCTTCTTCAAAGACTTTTTGTGCGCATTTATGTTAAAAATTTCCTTGAATCAAAGACTCCACAAGCCCCACTGAAGCCTCTCATATCTTCTTCTCTGATGTCATTCTGCTCTTTGCACAATGGTACGTTCATGTGCTGGCAAACCAGTTCTCCAACATGGCGACAAGAGGGGAAAGCGGGAGTCAATAGAGGCTGTCGATTTCTTGGTGCAAGCACTCCCATCAGTTTATCATCTTCTATATGACAAATTGTAACAAAAAGACATTTTT